GGCCACAGCCACGCTGCTCCTGGTCTTCGCTGACAGCCTGCAGGAGGCGCTGCCGGACATCAGTGACAGTCCCGCGCCTTCTGACTCCCAGGCGGAGCTGCAGTTTTACTTGGTCATTGCTTTGACTTTGGTCTCCGTGCTCTTCCTTCTCGCAGTGACTCTGGCCATAGCGCTGCGCCTGTGTCGGCGTTCCTCCAGCCCCGCCTCCTGGGGCTGTTTTCAGCCAGCGTTCAGCTGCAAGTCTGAACCTGGGGTTCTCCCCAACTATGGCGAGGGCACTCTGCCCCAGTCCTACAATCTGTGTATTGCCTCCCAATCGGCCAAAACAGAATTTAATTTTCTCAGCGTCACTCCGGAATCGGCTCCCACTCAGGATCTCCTCTGCGAGGATGCCTCTTGGGGATCTAATACAAATCATGGCGATGCTGGGGTACCATTTACCTCAGATAGGATTTCAGAGGTAAGCTTTACTTGTTTCCAATCTTTTCACTTAGTGCGTTAATGTTTCTGAGTCACTTAACAGGAGTCTGAGATTTCACCTCATCTTTTGTTATCTCGTGGTTCCGATTGGGTCCGTTTTCTAAAATGATCTTTATCTTGTCTAATCAAGTTTCAGATATTGTTTATTACTTGGGGGTGTCAGATTAGTTTTCCAGAATCACAGATATTTAGCCTATGGTGTCATCCTTTACTTCCTTGTCTTTACATTGTGTCTTTCCCTCAGAAGAGTTCTATCTGCTGGGCTCTTTATTACTCAGATTTTAATGTTTCTTTCTCTTAAACTCATGAGAGTCCTCAGATCACAAGTGTGGAAAAACTTGGAGCCAATGAAAAGAAGAGTTTTGCCTGGTGCCAGATTTGCCACCCGTAGGCCAAGGGTAGAACTTGTTCCCACTGCCTTGTAGGCCAGTAGTCTGCCTGCCTTCCCAATCTCAGTGTCTCAACAATCTCAGTGTCCAGGTATAATGCAAGTATACAAGATCTAAGGGAAGTCTGAGGTCTGAGGTGTCTGCTAAGGTCACAGTCAACCAATGTGTGAAATAATTTCTCAGGTATATTAATGAATTGCTCTTGAAAATCTTGTATAATTGAGAACATCTTGGCAAGTTTTACAGGCATTGTTTCATAACAACCCTATTGGACAGAGTAGAATGAACTGGTTCTGTGGATTTCTGAGACTATCAGTCTGTACAGGAGTAGAAAGTCTCATTTTTCTCTCTGAGAGTGGCTGGTGAGTTCCAACTGTTGACTTGGTGGTGAGCAGTCCAACTGGTAATCCACTGTGCCATCAGGGATCGATGGCACAGAATTGTTTAGATGTTGTCATGTTGTATACAAGCATTACTTAAAATTTTGTTTCTCTAAAAGTCTCCAATTATAGATATAGAATATCTTCCTTTTCTCATTTTCCTCTGAAAATAGCATTAAGTAAACAATTTTTCTCTCATTTGATGGACTTTGAGAAATGTCCATTTTTTAAATCATGGGATCTTCCTTTTTCCACCATCATATTGAGGCTTAAAGATCAAACACATGTCTCACCATCAAAAAGCCATTCACTGCCTACTTGCTTTTATCAGGGCATGATGTCTTGCGTCTGTGATGAAGTAAAGCCCTTTTCTGCACAGTCAGTACAGTATACTGATGTCTACTATGAGTCTATTATTATGAACACCTAATTACAAGTTCTTGTACAGGGAACTAGGAAGATATCAATTATGCAAGAGGAACCCAACTCAAGCTTGCTTTCTGATGTAGTGCAACTCCTATCTTTAGGGTGAAAACCTGAAAAAATATCTCAAACACCTTGAAAGTAACAAAATGGCCTCTTTATTCTTTCTACATACTAAAATTAATAGAATATTTACCACAAAAAAAGCATAGGTCTTTTGCAATCATGCATTGAGGAATGGGTGTATTTCTTTGCCAATTCTGTGTACAAATGGACACATTAGCATAAACATATAATAAAAGGTAAAATATTTAGGTCTAAAAAAGAGAGGAGTGTAATGTCCTATATTAATAATAAAACAATCTCTTTGACAGACTCAATATGGGTGAAAGTTAGTACATGACATCAAACTTCTTTATGAAAATAAAAGAACAATCTAATACTTTTGAATTCCAGGGGATTGTGGTATTCTTTCACGATCGCAGGATTAGATATCAGCTATCTTTAACAGTGTGACAAAGTGTTTCATTAAGGATACAACGAATGTTATTGGAAATAAAAATACAAGTAAAATTTATTGGGAAGAAAAACAATTGGTGCAGTAACTGATTAGGACTCTGGGTGTCGCTGTTCACCAAAAGGGGGGAAAAGGCTGCTGCAGTTGCAGACCGATTCTCTGCTCCTTAGGCACCCAGCACCCACAGATCAGAAGAGCTACCGAGAAAGCCGTTTACCTGCACCCTACTCGGATAAATCTCCGTCAGAGACTGCATATCCCCCCTTGCTTTCAGAAAATTAAAGACACAGCGGACAGGAACCAAGAATAAGAGAAAATCGGGCTTTGCAAAGCAATGGTGGATCCACTCCTGCGCTGGGGCTGCAGGGAGGCGCTCCTGCTCTTCCTCCTCCTGGGGTCTCTGTGGGGAGCCGGCACCGGGCAGATCCGCTACTCCATTCCGGAGGAGCTGGACAAAGGCTCCTTTGTGGGAAACATCTCCAAGGACCTGGGACTGAAGCCCCCGGAGCTGGCGGAGCGGGGAGTCCGCATCGTCTCCAGAGGTAAGACGCAGCTTTTCGCTCTGAGTCCCCGGAGCGGCGGCCTGGTCACCGCGGGGAGGATCGACCGCGAGGAGCTCTGCGCCCAGAGCGCGCGGTGCCTGGTGAACTTTAACGTCCTGGTTGAGAATAAAATGAAAATTTACGGAGTAGAAGTAGAAATTATCGACATTAATGATAATTCCCCGCGCTTCCGTGATGAGGAATTAAAAGTAAAGATCAATGAAAATGCCGCTGTGGGGACGCGGTTTGTGCTTCCCTTCGCACGGGATCCGGATGCGGGTGTGAACGCTCTCCTGAGCTACCGGCTCAGCTCCAACAAGCACTTCTCTCTGGACGTGAAAAGCGGAACCGATCAGCAAAAGTACCCGGAGCTGGTGCTGGATCAGCCCCTGGATCGCGAGAAAGAGGCGCTTCACGATCTCCTCCTCACGGCTGTAGATGGCGGAGACCCTGTACTCTCCGGCACCACGCACATCCGCGTGATGGTCCTCGACGCCAACGATAATGCGCCCCTGTTCACTAGGCCGGAGTACACGGTGAGTGTCCCCGAGGACATTCCTGTGGGCACTCGGCTGCTCACGCTAACCGCCACGGACGCAGACGAGGGACTGAATGGGAAATTGACCTACTCTTTTCGCAATGAAGACGACACAATTTCAGAAACCTTCCAGCTTGATTCCAGCCTGGGGGAAATCTCAACTCTGAAATCATTGGACTACGAAGAGTCCAGCTGCTACCTAATAGAAGTGGAAGCGCAGGACGGCGGCGCTCTTCTCGCCAGCGCTAAGGTGCTGGTCACAGTACAGGACGTGAATGACAATGCCCCAGAGGTGATCCTCACCTCTCTCTCCACCTTGGTCTCTGAAGATTGTGCCCTCGGAACCGTAATCGCGCTGTTTAGCGTACATGATAGTGATTCTGGAGAGAATGGCGAGGTTGCCTGTTCTATCCCCAGCAACCTACCCTTTGCATTGGAAAAGTCCGTTAATAATTACTATCACTTATTGACAACAAACGTCCTGGACAGGGAAGAGACCTCGGATTATAATATCACCGTCACAGTTGTTGACCATGGAACCCCACCCCTATCAACTGAAACTCATATCTCCATTAAAGTGGTAGACATCAACGACAACCCACCTACCTTCCATCACGCCTCTTACTCTACTTACATCTTGGAAAACAACTCAAGAGGCGTCTCCATCTTCTCTGTAACCACCCACGACCCGGACAGCGGAGAGAATGCCCGGGTTTCTTACTCCTTGAGCGAGGACACTCTCCAGGGCATGCCTCTGTCCTCCTATGTCTCCATCAACTCGGACACTGGTGTGCTATATGCCCTGTGTTCCTTCGACTATGAGCAGTTCCAAAACCTGCATTTTTGGGTGACAGCCAGTGACAGTGGGAACCCGCCACTCAGCAGCAACGTGTCCCTGAGCCTCTTCGTGCTGGACCAGAATGATAACGTGCCAGAGATCTTGTATCCCACCCTGCCCACCGATGACTCTACGGGAGTGGAGCTGGCTCCTCGATCTGCAGAGCCTGGCTACCTGGTGACCAAGGTGGTGGCGGTGGACAGAGACTCGGGACAGAATGCTTGGCTGTCCTA